CACTTCCAGTATTTTCTGTTGCTCATGGGCGTTCTTTGTGCCAAGTGTGGTTAATTCCATTATTGGTGGAGTTCAAAATGGTCTTTGATAGCAGGTGAACTATAAATCCCAGCAACTACAACTCTCAAATGACAAAAATCAACCTCCCACACCACCAGTATTCAAATTTGGTCGTATCGGATATTTGTGTCAAGTTTGGTCTAGTATTTGAAAATACATCCTGCCTATCAGATATTTACATTACGATTCATAATAGTAGCAAAATGACAGTAATGAAGTAGCAATGGAAATAATTTTATGGTTGGGGGTCACCACAACAGGAGGAACTGTATTAAGAGGTCATAGTATTAGGAAGGTTGAGAACCACTGAGCTAGGGGGGTCCCATATGGAACTGGGACCCACAGTTTAAGAAGTAGTGAGTTAAAGTATGTTCCCATTCTTTCCCTGCTAAGATTTATTATACAGGGTTAGTCAAAATGAATAGGCCAATAAGAAAATTAATTTTAGACGAATGTATGTTTACTGTAACCAAACCACAGCTACGTAGCGACAGATAAACTATCAAAGTTTTTTTTGAGCAACACACATGTACGTTAATGCCGCTAGGCGTCGCTAGGGGTCGCTGTTTTCAAAATGGCGGAATCAAGCAAAGAGAAGGCGTTTTGTGTGATGACATTTGCTAAAACAATGTCAGTAATTACGGTCCAGCGAGAATTTCAAGGGTTAGGGTTAGGGTTAGGGTTAGGGTTAGGGTTAGGGATAGGGTTAGGGATAGGGTTAGGGTTAGGGTTAGGGTTAGGGTTAGGGTTAGGGTTAGGGATAGGGTTAGGGTTAGGGTTAGGGTTAGGGTTAGGGTTAGGGTTAGGGTTAGGGTTAGGGTGTTAGGGTTAGGGTTAGGGTTAGGGTTAGGGTTAGGGTTAGGGTTAGGGTTAGGGTTAGGGTTAGGTTAGGGTTAGGGTTAGGGTTAGGGTTAGGGTTAGGGTTAGGGTTAGGGTTAGGGTTAGGTAGGGTTAGGGTTAGGGTTAGGGTTAGGGTTAGGGTTAGGGTTAGGGTTAGGGTTAGGACCTCAACGAACACCTTCCCAGACGTTGCTGCATTCGATGCCATTACGTCGGATGTGCTGCAACGGATGTGGAATGAACTGGACTATTGCTTGGACATCTGCCGTGTCACACGGGGCGCCCATATCGAACATCTCTGAAGGTGAGACAAAACTTTGATAGTTTATCTGTCGCTACGTAGCTGTGGTTTGGTTACAGTAAACATACATTCGTCTAAAATTAATTTTCTTATTGGCCTATTCATTTTGACTAACCCTGTATTGTTTAAAGCAGACATACTTCTGCAACCTTCACAGGAAAGCCTGCATTTCATTGGCTCTCTGTGTCATTGTACTGTGATGCTATTGTAAAAACCTCCAGGTAGACAGAAGGCCATGAAGAAGAAAGGAGGAGGAGCACATAAAAAGACTTTCTTTTTTTAAAAAAGGAGCTTTGTTGCCAGAGGCTTTGTTATTTGTGTCAAGTTTGGTCAAGGGCAGGGGTCCTCAAACTAAGGCCCGGGGGCCGGATGCGGCCCTCCAAGGTCATTTACCCGGCCCTCGCTCTGGGTCAATTATTTATTTATTTATTTACTTTACTTGTATACCGCAGTTTCTCAGCCCAACAGGCGACTCAACGCGGTTTACAACAAGGATAAGAATCAATCAACGATATACAATTTAAAACCATAAAAGCATAATATACAATATTGACACAACAATAGACAACACAATGCATCTCATAACTAGAGTCGTGATCCAATCCGTCGTCCAAATTTCCATGCTATAATCATCACATTCATTGCACTGTTTAACCGAATGCCCGTTCAAACATCCAAGTTTTTAATCTTCTTCGGAACACCATTAGCGAGGGGGCTGATCTTACCTCCATAGGAAGGGCGTTCCACAGCCGGGGGGCCACCACAGAAAAGGCCCTGTCTCTCGTCCCCGCCAGCCGCACCTGTGAAGCAGGCGGGATAGAGAGCAGGGCCTCCCCAGAAGATCTTAGGGTCCTGGCGGCTGATAGGCAGAGATACGTTCGGATAGGTAGCTTGGGCCAGAACCGTTTAGGGCTTTATAGGCCAACGCCAGCACTTTGAATTGAGCCTGGTAGCAAATCGGCAGCCAGTGGAGCTGGTGCAGCAGAGGAGTTGTATGCTCCCTGCGCTCCGCTCCTGTTAGTATCATGGCTGCCGAGCGTTGGACTAGCTGGAGCTTCCGAGCCGTCTTCAAAGGCAACCCCACGTCAACCTAAGTATGAAACTATGTGAAAGCACACAACAACAACAACAACAACAACAACAATTCTATCTCATCAGCCAAAAGCAGGCCCACAGTTTCCATTGAAATACTGATAAGTTTATATTTGTTAAAATTGTTCTTCATTTTAATTATTGTATCGTTTTTAAATGTTTTTTGCACTACAAATAAGAGACGTGCAGTGTGCATAGGAATTCATTCATGTTTTTTGCTAATTATAATCCGGCCCGCCAACAGTTTGAGGGACTGTGACCTGGCCCTCTGTTTAAAAAGTTTGTGGACCCCTGGTCTAGGGAATGAAAATACATCCTACGTATCAGATATTTACATTGCAATCATAACAATAGCAAAATTACAGTTATGAAGTAGCAAGAAAAATAAATTTCTGATTGGGGGGTCACCATAACATGAGGAACTGTATTAAGGGGTCGTAGCATTAGGAGGGTTGAGAACCACTGCTCTAGAACATGGCCATGTAGCCCGGAAAAACCTAGAACAACACAATTATTGTATTGTTTTTAAGTGTGTGTGTATTTTTTTTTGCACTACAAATAAGATATGTGCAGTGTGCATAGGAATTCATTCATGCTTTTCTCAAATTATAACCCGGCCCTCCAACAGTGTTGAGGGGCTGTCATCTGGCCCTCTGTTTGAAAAGTTTGATGAGGACTCCTGTCCTAGAGTTTATTTTATTTATCGTGTCATCAGCAACCATTGTATTACAATTCTAACAGAGCAAAACAAACACAGAGATTAAAAAGAAAAGGGAAAAAAGGAAAAAAAAACACACAGATTTTGCAAATTTGGTAGTTGATTAAATGTCCTTTGACCAGTAGCTGGCCACTTGGAGTGCCTCTGGTGTTGCTGCAAGGAGGTCCTCCATTGTGCATGTGGAAGGGCTCAGGGTGCATTGCAGCAGGTGGTCAGTGGTTTGCTCTTCTCCACACTCGCATATCGAGGATTCCACCCTGTAGCCCCATTTCTTGAGGTTGGCTCTGCATCTCGTGGTGCCAGAGCGCAGTCTGTTCAGCGCCTTCCAAGTCGCCCAGTCCTCTGTGTGCCCAGGGGGGAGTCTCTCATCTGGTATCACCCATGAATTGAGGTGCTGGGTTTGGGCCTGCCACTTTTGGACTCTCGCTTGCTGGGGTGTTCCAGTCAGTGTCTCTGTAGATCTAAGTAAACTATGTCTTGATTTAAGTCGTTGACGTGCTGGCTGATACCCAAACAAGGGATGAGCTGGAGATGGCACTGCCTTGGTCCTTTCACTATTGGCTGCCACTTCCCGGCGGATGACAGGTGGTGCAATACCGGCTAAGCAATATAATTTCTCCAGTGGTGTAGGGCGCAGACACCCCGTGATAATGCGGCATGTCTCATTAAGAGCCACATCCACTGTTTTAGCGTGGTGAGATGTGTTCCACACTGGGCATGCATACTCAGCAGCAGAGTAGCATAGCGCAAGGGCAGATGTCTTCACTGTGTCTGGTTGTGATCCCCAGGTTGTGCCAGTCAGCTTTCGTATGATGTTGTTTCTAGCGCCCACTTTTTGTTTGATGTTCAGGCAGTGCTTCTTGTAGGTCAGAGCACGGTCCAGAGTGACTCCCAGGTATTTGGGTGTGTTGCAATGCTCCAGTGGGATTCCTTCCCAGGTAATCCTCAGAGCTCGGGATTCTTGTCTGCTCTTGAGGTGAAAAGCACATGTCTGTGTTTTAGATGGGTTGGGGATCAGCTGGTTTTCCCTGTAATAGGCAGTAAGAGCACCTAGAGCTTCGGAGAGCTTCTGTTCAACCATCTCAACCATCTGCTTGAGTGGTGATGGCATGATCGTCAGCATAGATGAAACTCTCAACCCAGTGATTCCAGCCATGAAAGACTTCGACAATACAATACAATAATTAAAATGATGAACAATTTTAACAAACATAAACTTATTGGTATTTCTGCCACTATTAGGCACTGCCAGAAGGGACAGAGAGTTTCATCTATGCTGACGATCGTGCGATCACCACTCAAGCAGGGAGCTTTGAGATGGTTGAACAGAAGCTCTCCGAAGCTCTAGGTGCTCTTACTGCCTATTACAGGGAAAACAACAGAGAGTAAACAATCAGGCACATCAAATGACCTCTCAACAAAAGATTCCTCCAGGCACTTCCAAGCCATTCATTGCTAATCAAGGTGGTCAGTTGAAACATTCACACCCAGCTCCAGCAGACAAGAGTTTGAGGATGCTTGCCATAGATGCAGGCGAAACGTCAGGAGAGAATGCTTCTAGAACATGGCCATATAACCCGGAAAAACCTACAACAACCCAATTATTGTTTTTAAGTGGGTTTTTTTTTTTTGCACTACAAATAAGATATGTGCAGTGTGCATAGGAATTCATTCATGCTTTTCTCAAATTATAATCCGGCCTCCCAACAGTTTTGAGGGGCTGTCACCTGGCCCTCTGTTTGAAAAGTTGGATGAGGACTCCTGTCCTAGAGAAAGGCTTGGCTTCACCTCGGCGCGTGCGCAGTGGAGGCCTGGCGGGCGGCGCCGAGGCGGACGAATAGCGTGGCTCGATCCTTTCTTTCCCCGAGGCCCCGCCCCCTTTCGCAGCTGGTGACGTCACGAGTGGGGCGGTGGCCTTAGCGGGCGCCATTTTGAAAGTGGAACCCGAGAGAGGGAGGGAGGGAGGGGGAAGAGGGCGGAAGTGGAAGGAGGGCGGAAGTGGAAGGAGGGCGGGGGGAGGCGGCGCGGAGGCAGGCCCAGAAGCCCAGAGAGAAGCGCGGCTTCTCCGCCTCCCCCCCCGGAAGGCATCCGCGCCCATCCGCGCCCGGCTAGGCCTCTCCCCCTCGGCCTCCGGGTCAAAGGGGAAGCCGAGGGCCCGCTGCAACCGACGGCGCCTCCATTGGCAGCCCAACATGGCAGGTAAGAGCCGCCCGGGCCCGCCTTTTCCTCCCTCAGGCGAGGAGGCGCTCAGGCAGGGCTGCCTGGATTGCCCACTTCCGCCCCCTCTTATCCTCACCCTTTCATCCCCATTTCCCATCTAATTCCCTATTTCCCTTCTCCCCTTTGGCATCCTCCATTGATTGCCCTTGTTGCTTCCTTGGTTCCACCTCAATTTTGTTTACACTTCCATCTCCTTTTTCCCCCTCTTCCTTCCTATTTCCTCTTCCTCAGAGAGGAATTAAAGTCTTGTTTTCTCCGAGGCGGAAGTTGAGGATTTGCAACTCATTCATTCATTTATTTCCCTGCAAATTTGAGTCCTGAACATTATTGCAGTCAATGTGTGATGGGGATATCCTAAGGCGAGGCTTTGCAAGGTTAGGAAACCGATTTGCAAGACACTTCACAGCATTGGCTGCAAAAAGCGAGTTTTAGACTGCATGTGTGAATGGCTGACCTGGGTTCATCATTTCCATGCAACCTGGGGGTTTCTTGCAGAGAGATTGAAAGCTGTGTGGGAATTGCAGCTTGTTGATTTGCGAGATACTTAACAGTTTTGACTACAAAGACTTTTAGATTGGGCTGCATGTGTGAATGGCTGACCTGGGTCTATCATTTCCTTGCAACCTTGGGGTTTCTTGCAGAGAGATTGAAACCTGTGTGGAAATTGCAGCTTGTTTTGCAAGATACTGAACAGTTTTGGCTACAAAGACTTTTAGATTAGGTTGCATGTGTGAATGGCTGACCTGGGTTCATCATGTCCATGCAACCTGTGAGTTTTAGATTGGGCTGACCTGGGTCCATCATTTCCATGCAACCTGGGGGATTTTTTTACAGAGAGATTGAAACCTGTGTGGAAATTACAGCTTGTTGATTTGGAAGACACTTAACAGCTTTGGCTGCAAAAAGCGAGTTTTACATTGGGCTGCATGTGTGAATGGCTGACCTGGGTTCATCATTTCCATGCAACCTGGGGAGTTTCTTACAGAGAGATTGAAACCTATGTGGAAATTGCAGCTTATTGATTTGAAAGACACTTAACAGCTTTGGCTGCAAAAAGCGAGTTTTAGATTGGGCTGCATGTATGAATGGCTGGCCTGGATTCATCATTTCCATGCAACCTGGGATTTCTTACAGAGGATTGAAACCTGTGTGGAAATTGCAGCTTGTTGATTTGCAAGATACTTAACAGTTTTGGCTACAAAGACTTAGATTGTATCTTGTTGATTTGCAAGATACTTAACAGCATGTGTGAATGGCTGACCTGGGTTCATCATTTCCATGCAACCTGGGGTTTTTTTACAGAGGGATTGAAAGCTGTGTGGAAATTATAGCTTGTTGATTTGCAAGACATTTAACAGCTTTGGCTGCAAGAAGCGAGTTTTAGATTGGGTTGCATGTATGAATGGCTGACCTGGGTCCATCATTTCCATGCAGCCTGAGAGTTTTAGACTGGGCTGACCTGGGTCCATCATTTCCATGCAAACTGGGGGTTTCTTACAGAGAGATTGAAACCTGTGTGGAAATTGCAGCTTGTTGATTTGCAAGATACTTAACAGTTTTGGCTACAAAGACTTTTAGATTGGGCTGCATGTGTGAATGGCTGACCTGGGTTCATCATTTCCATGCAACCTGGGTTTTCTTACAGAGAGATTGAAACCTGTGTGGAAATTGCAGCTTGTTGATTTGCAAGACACTTAACAGCTTTGGCTGCAAAAAGCGAGTTTTAGATTGGGTTGCATGTATGAATGGCTGACCTGGGTTCATCATGTCCATGCAACCTGTGAGTTTTAGATTGGGCTGACTTGGGTCCATCATTTCCATGCAACCTGTTTCTTACAGAGAGATTGAAAGCTGTGTGGAAATTGCAGCTTGTTGACTTGCAAGACACCATCAGCTTTTGCTGCAAAAATCGAGTTTTAGATTAACCTGCATGTGTGAATGCCTAACCTGGGTTCAGCATTTTCATGCAACATGGCATATCCTGGAGTATTTATTACAAAGAGACTGAAAGCTGTTTGGAAATTACAGCTTGTTGATTTGCAAGACACTAATAGTTTTGGCTGCAAAAAGCGAGTTTTACCTTGGGTTGTATGTGTGAATGGCTGACCTGGGTTCATCATTTCCATCATTTCAAATCCTGGAGGGTTTCTTACAGATTAAAACCTGTGTGGAAATTGCACCTTGTTGACTTGCAAGGCACTAACAGATTTCGCTGCAAAAAGCGAGTTTTAGATTGAGCTGCATGTGTGAATGCCTAACTTGGGTTCAACATTTCCATGCAATATGGCATATCCTGGAGTGTTTCTTACAGAGGGACTGAAAGCTTTGTCGAAATGGCAGCTTGTTGATTTGCAAGACACTAAGAGCTTTGGCTGCAAAAAGCGAGTTTTGGATTGGGATGCATGTGTGAACAGCTGACCTGGGTCCATCATTTCCATGCAACCTGGGGATTTCTTACAGAGAGATTGAAACCTATGTGGGAATTGCAGCTTGTTGATTTGCAAGACACTAACAACTTTGGCTGCAATAAGCGAGTTTTAGATTGGGCTGCGTGTATGAATGGCTGACCTGGGTCCATCATGTCCATGCAACCTGGGGATTTTTTACAGAGAGATTGAAACCTATGTGGGAATTGCAGCTTGTTAATTTGCAAGACACTAACAATTTTGGCTGCAAATAAACGAGTTTTAGATCAGGATGCATGTATGAATGGCTGACCTGGGTCCATCATGTCCATTCAACCTGGGGATTTCTTACAGAGAGATTGAAACCTATGTGGGAATTGCAGCTTGTCGATTTGCAAGACACTTAACAGCTTTGACTGCAAAAAGCGAGTTTTAGATGGGGTTGCATGTATGAATGGCTGACCTGGGTCCATCATTTCCATGCAACCTGGTGGTTTCTTACAGAGAGATTGAAAGCTTTGTGGAAATTGCAGCTTGTTGATTTGCAAGACACTAACAGCTTTGGCTGCAAATAAACGAGTTTTAGATCGGCATGCATGTATGAATGGCTGACCCGGGTTCATCATTTCCATGCAACACGACATCTGGAGGATTTCTCACAGAGAGATTGAGACCTGTGAGGAAATTGCAGCTTGTTGAGCTTGCATGGTTTGAAAATGCAAAAGATCCACCCTTCTACAAACCCTTCTTCAGTTTCCTCTCTCTCTTGCAATCTGTTCACAAACACAAAGATTCAGAATCTGGCAACATGGGCCACTGTGTTGAGGTTTGTGTTTGTCTCCTGTCTTTCCACCAAGAAAGCTTTGAATGGAGGGAGGTTGTGAGTACTGCCAAAGAAACCCCGCGTTTTCTGCATGAGTTATTTTTCTCCTGCAGGCAAATCCGTCAATGGGATTTGCCTGCATTTGTTCAGAGTGGCTTCTTCTGAGGCTGAGAGAGAGTGGCTTACCCAAAATTGGTTTCCACAACTGAATGGAGATTCAGACTCGGCTTTCCCAGTGTCCTTAGTCCAAAACCACCCTAACCGTTTTCCATGAGTGCATCTACACTGTCAAATTAACACAGTTTGACACCATTGTGACTGCCACAGCCTATTGCTACGAAATCCTGGGAGTTGTAATAATTTTGTGTAGTACTCTGGCAGAGAAAGTTCAGGACGCATTGTCGAAGGCTTTCATGGCTTGAATCACTAGGTTGCTGTGAGTTTTTCGGGCTGTAAGGCCGTGTTCCAGAAACATTCTCTCCTGACGTTTCGCCCACATCTATGGCAGGCATCGTCAGAGGTTGGTTTTTTTTTTTGAAGTTTTTAAAATTTTTATTTATAAATTTATCAAACAAAATGCATAAGCATACATTCTTCCCTCTTTTTACAACATCTTAGAAGAGTATGTCATATTATACACAATCTAACAGTAAAAAAAATCAAAAACATATTTAAGCGCATTTCTTATCTTTTTTTAAACTTTCCATACAACTTATACGACCACACACCTTTTATCTACTTATACATGTTTTATTTATTTATAATTAGTATTATATCATTTTCCCCTCTTCCCCTTAGTTTCTAATATAGTTTCCAATATACTTGACAACCTCTGAAGATGCTTGCCATAGATGTGGGTGAAACGTCAGGAGAGAATGCTTCTGGAACATGGCCATAAAGCCTGGAAAACTCACAGCGACCCAAAGCTTAGGACCTTTCAAAGTTTCAATTCCCAGATCCCATCGCAAAGAGCAATGGCAGTCAAAGTGCTGTTGAACTACATTCAGTTTGCAATGTGTTTTTTTTATTTATTTACGACATTTATATGCCACCCTTCTCACTCCGAAGGCTCAGAGTGGCTTACAAGATATGTATACATACAATATATTATATTATTAGCTTAGTACAATATCAATAGTGTAGATGCAATCTATAGTGTAGATCAGGGATCCTCAAACTATGACCCACGGGCCGAATACGGCCCTCAAAGGTCATTTATCCAGCCTTCGTTCAGGGTCAACCTAAGTCTGAAGCGACTTGAAAGCAAACAACAACAATCCTATCTCATCAGCAAAAGCAGGCCCACATTTCCCATTGAAATACTAATACGTTTCTATTTGTTAAAATTGTTCTTCATCTTAATTATTGTATTATTTTAAGTGTTTTTGCACTACAAATAAGATATGTGCAGTGTGCACAGGAATTTATTCATTTTTATTTTCAAATTATAATCCGGCCCTCCCAAGATTTTGAGGGACTGTGACCTGGCCCTCTGTTTAAAAAGTTTGAGGACCCCTGGTGTAGAGCAAGCATTGGCAAACTTTGGGTCTCTGGGTATTTAGGACTGCAAACTCCCACAATTCCTAACAGCTGGTAGTTTGCCCATGCCTGGTATAAATGCAGTCTTACCCCCCCCCCCCCCCAAAAAAAAAAAGAATTTGAAACATATAGAAAACACACTGTAATCTTCAGGAGGCCTTGTTTACTTCTTCAGCAAAGTTGTTTTGAATCAGTGTATCGAACTATAATTACAAAGTAAAATACCTTTTTTCCAGTTCAGCGTGGTGCCCAAATAGGGAGCAACGTTTTCTTTTCACAAAGTAACAAAGGAAGATGGAAATAGAACACTTGTGGATTGTTTGTGCTTTTCCTGTGCTCTGATTGCTGTGTGGCGATGGAGTGACCACTCTTCCCCTTCTGGCTTGAACTTTTTCTTAAGTTGCTTGGTTGTTGCTGTTGTATTTTTTTTTAAGGAAGGGAGGAACTCCTCCCTCTCTTGCTCCATCCCCTTGGTCAAGATGCCACGGTTACACAGCTGTTTTCACACACACACACACACACACACACATCTTCGTTTTCAGGGGAAATATTCAGGGAAAGCTCCATTTTGATAACTGCCTTTCAGCTTCCTCCACGAGCCCTACCCAATGACTTGCTCCGAATGACATGTCCAAGAAATGGGTGGCGTGTCTTTGGCATGTTTGGGTGGAAGGTTCAAATGATTCACCGCCTTCCTTCTGCCGGGGCAGGAATGTTCTTGAAGCTTTCTCTCCGGTCCATCTTTTACGGTAGTTTCAAGTTTATTTGTAACTGAGGTGACTTCTTCAAGTTTCAGAATTATAGACTTCTTTTATAACAACAATCTTAAGTTTTATTCTTGTCCTACTTTCTGTAAATGGCAGAAATGAAGTTGTCAACAAATTAAAAAATGTTCCCTTATGGTGCTTGATGCCTGATTCTAGTAACTTAGAAGTAAAGTTCCAAAGTTTGTGTGAGAGAGAAAGTTTGGTTTGTAAGAAGAGCAGTCATGCATTGTGTGTTGTGTATCTTCAAAGTGTGACAGCCTATGAAGTTGAGTAGTTGTGACCTATCTTTGTAGAGAAATTGATTGTGACTGTGTTCATTTGGACACATCCCTAGTGACAAAAATGTTGTGGGCTGTGTTGAGGGACAATAAGAAGAGCTTGCAAGTAACTTTCTGCTTTGGAAATACTCTTCGCCTTTGTGGGCGTGGTGGGTGCTCCCTTTACATTTCCTATCCTTGCCAACAATCGCTGGGTATCAGACTGGAATGCTAACATTGTGCAGTCAAGCTTAATAACCAGGGTGTTGTCCAGCTTTTATTTAACTTTTGTTTTGTTTCTAGGAGCCGGTGGCGGCGGGAATGACATTCAGTGGTGTTTTTCTCAGGTGAAAGGGGCTGTGGATGATGATGTAGCAGAAGGTAAGAACAAGATCTGATTTAACCTGTTTGTATTATTAACAGCAGTAGGATTCTGGTACTGGTAGTTTATTAGGTATTACTTGAAATTATTGTTCATTGTATTCTCATGTTTTATTTAGTTTACTGTGTTGATTGTTCTGTATTCTGGTTTTATTTTATTGTAATGTTCTGTTGGGCTTGGCCTCATGTAAGCCGCCCTGAGTCCCCATTGGGGAGATGGTGGCGGGGTATAAATAAAGTTTATTATTATTATTTGAAACACAACAAGATGAGTCCACAGCAGACAAGATCACTCTGCTGGCTGTTGTATTGGATCACACATTGGACACTTCCCAAGTGTCTAGTACTGTGTGATGTATCGGTGAATGATGCGTGCAGATCCCAGTAAGGTGGCCTTCTGCAGCTGGCAGATGGTAATCTTGTCAGCGCCGATTGTGTTTAAGTGCAGGCCAAGGTCTTTAGGCACTGCACCCAGTGTGCCGATCACCACTGGGACCACCTTGACTGGCTTGTGCCAGAGTCTTTGCAGTTCGATGTTTAAATCCTCATAATGTGTCAGCTTTTCCAAATTATTATTATTATTATTATTATTATTATTATTATTGTGTCACTCCAAGTTTGTATTCCTTGTGTCAACAGTAAATTGTGAAAGCTTGAACCTTGCGTCACACAGCAGCTTTTCCATATACAGTCCCTGGGTTTTTACCTCGTTGCTCCATGTGATATCAGGCTACTTAATTATGTGTCTTTAGGTGAGCAATATTATCAGCAGTGAAATTATTCTAGTACTATCCCTTTTATTAAGTATTTCTTGAAATCTCCTTGTTTCACCCAAGTTTTAGTTCCTTATCTCCATATGTGAACAGCAAGTGTTCAGAATATTTATTTATTTTTTACAGCATTTATATGCCGCCCTTCTCACCCCGAAGGGGACTCAGAGTGGCTTAAAATATATATTTTCATACAATATATTATATTATTAGCATAGTACAATATCAGTATATATTACTATATATCCTGATAATATCCATCCTTTGACAACGCATCCATCCTCAAATATATTCTAAGAAATTGGATATGTAGTTAGATTAGTCCTTCACAATGTGCTTATCTCCAAAGGTCCTAGATTATGATTCCAACACTCTTATAGCCAGTAACTTGGTACAACTTTCTGATATCGCTGAATAAGCCACCCAGTTTGACACACATGATGCTGAGTGGAAACATCACACAAGTTATGTAAAATTTATTTTTCAGAAGAACTGTTATGTTGTTTTCTTCAAGTTAACCTATATTTAATGCTTCGCCCATCTTTGTATACATTTTCTGAGGAGACTTTAAATTGCAGTACAATTTTTAGCATATGGAGTTAAATGCTTGGTGTAATGTCATGGGAGATGGAGAATGCCGCTACATGATGAGGAGAGAGGCACAACTCAATGTAGGACAGCAGTTTTTAGTGTCATCTGTGCTCCATGTGAAACGGGGAGCATGAGGCCTCCCAGGTGCTGTGATATTTGCATTTAGCTCAAAGATTGAGAAATCCTCCTTATACTATGACTACAACTTCCATCATCTCTCAACATTGGATGTCGTAATCGAGCGGTATCTGCATGATCACAGAGTTGTTGTTTGTGCTCTAAATACATCACACTTGTAGTCGCCAGCTGTGAAGAAGACTATCTTTGTTTGCAATTGAACTGGATGTCAGTGCATTTTCCTTTTAGTAAATGAATACAGACACAAATTTTTGCTCTGTACACATTCACTATTGAATGACATGTTTTTCTAGCAAGAAACAGTCAGACAAGTCCAGTGTTGTCTGATCCTTGATAGTATCCTTCAAATCTTGAAAGTCTATCATGCATTTGGAATATAATTTCTAGGGGATGCTATGCATACTAGGTAGCCAGGACTTGAGTCATTTTCAGAACTTATGCTAAAAAAAACCCCCTTTGTTTGAGAATTGCTTTGTTTTTGAGAAGCTCTGTGATTCATGTTGCATGCACTGTGTCAAGTAGTTATTCTGCATTTGATCCATTGTCTCCTTAAAACAAAATATGTCTAATACTGTATATAAGCCTAGTTTTCAGCCCTTTTTTTAGGCTGAAAAAGCTCCCCTCTGCTTGTACTCGAGTCAAGGCTATTTATTCTTTTATTCTGTTATTAGTATTTTTATTTTATGTATTTTATTACATTTACAGTATTTTACTCTATTATTATGATTATTATTACATTTATTATATTTTATTATTATTGCATTTATTATTTTACTCTATTATTACATTTACTATTTTACTGTTATTGCATTTCCATTATTTTACTTTATATTATTATTATTATTATTATTATTATTACATTCATTATTTTACTCTATTATTGTTGGAAGGATACGTAAATACATTTACATTGAAGAAGGATAGAATAATTATTTAATCAGAGTTGGGCAGTCTTGCCTCAAATTACAATTTTATGTAAATATTCAACACCATTTCACCTCCTGATGCCTCAATTAATGCAATTTTATTGCTATCTATATTTATTTTGAAATTTACCAGTAGCGGCTTATACATGAGTCAATACGTTTTCCCAGTTTTCTGTGGAAAAATTAGGTGCCTCGACTTATACTCGAGTATATACGGTAAATTGAAAGAAATAGCTGTGTGTTATGGTTTGGGAACTCATTTGCTTGTAAAGGTGGTCATTGTTAGTTACTAAGAACTGTGTTTCACTGAATCAAAATCCAGCATGGAGATGAGTATTCTCTTCCACATATTTGAAAGCAGTTACATGTAGTTTATGGAACAGGAAGTCATGAATATGTATGTCCTGCCAACACTCCTTAAAAGAAAACATGCATCCTACTCAAGTCTGTGTTTACTAAGTAGAAAACATTGCTAATTCTGTTGGAATTGCATTCCATTAATCATACATATGAAATCCAATGTGTATAGATTGATATTTTGGTCTGGGATTTGGAACACAAAGTGAGCTGTGAAATTACAGGTGTCTTGGGGTGAGTCATGGAGACAGCATGGTGTAGTGGCTTGAGCATTGGATTGTGTCTCTGGAGACCAAGCTTAGAATCCTTACTCAGCCACGGAAACCCACTAGGCAAACCCACAGGGCAAGTCACACTTTCTCAACCTTGGGAGGAAGAAAAGGCAATCCCCCTCTGACCAAGCCCTGCTAAGAAATCTGGAAACATAAAGCCACAAAAGAATAACAAGTGACTTACATGCTCTCAGCTCAACCACATTTATGAATGGGGAAGAAGCCAACCATGTACTTTCCCTAGAGATTACTGGGGAAAGGCCACAGATAAATGGAACTTAAACAACAGCCTTAATCCCTAGTATTTAGGACCCCCCCCCCCCCAATGAAACACAGAAGAGTCCCAGGTGGAATTCCTGGTAGTAGAACTTGGAAAGGCCTGCTTTTTTGGAGAGCTGTGGTATTTTCCAGTGGATGTTACAAGGACAAATGGATTGAATGTTTGATTCACTAAAAGACAGCCTCACTTCTTCTCTCTAACCCTGTATTTAGACTATTTTTGGGCTGTAAGCATACCATAGAATTGTACTGGAGGCCCACAAACACTTCTGAGGTGATGCGTCTTTTGGTGTATGGGTATATTTTATTTTGCTATTTCATGTATTTATTTTGATATTTTTGCTTCTTTGTATTTTATTTTGCTGTACTGTAATTTTGGGCTTGGCCTCATGTTAACCGCCTCGAGTCTCCTTTGGGGAGATGGTGGCAGGGTACAAATAATAATAATAATAATAATAATAATAATAATAATAATAATAATACTTTTTTAATACCCCCGCCACCATCTCCCCAACGGACTCGGAGGGCTTACATGAGGCCAAGCCCAACAACACATCAAAACAAGAAAGCAATAAACAAAAACAATACAATACAATGCAGTTAATATAAACCAAATGTAAACAAACAATAACACACAAGGATTTAAAAACTTATGGCTGGGCCAAATGTAATAGTTTAAAATTTAAAAATAAACGCTGGGCATGAACAAGGTAGGATATATCTGGTATAAGGGTTTTAAAAGAAATGACGGGAGCGCAGTCCAACCCAATCCAATAGTAAAGTGCGTACTGAGGACATATTGCTGGGAAATTTTCCTAAAGTTTGTTATTTATTATATATTCTCATATCCACAGATTGAATATTCAGTCTATGGATGAGAGAGTCTTACTATGTTGTTGTATGTCTTACTATGTTGTTGTATCTGGTTCCCTCCTGAAATCTGACCATTGCCCATGATGGCTGGACGCTATGGGAATTGATTTGGAAAAGCTGACTGAGTCTTTAAGAGAGAGCCCTCCCTTTTTAGGGCCCTTCCACACAACCCGATATCCCAGAATATCAAGGCAGAAAATCCCACATTATCTGAGTGTGGATTCAGATAACCCAGTTCAAAGCAGATATTGTGGATTTTTTTGCCTTGATATTCTGGGATATAGGGCTGTGTGGAAGGGCTCTTACTTGTTACCAGAACCTATTTCTTTATTTTGATTGAAGAGACAGCAAGGAGTTACGATCCCTCACTTGCACAGTGTTCATCATACGCTAGCAAGGTGTGGCAAGTCCCTGACCAAAAATAGTTATCCCTCTGGCACATTTCTTTATAATGTCTTCAAAGAATATATCTCCCATTGTTCTGTAAAGTAATGTATTTACTTCTGATGCTGAAATTCAGAACATTTTTGCTTAGAGATTGCTTTTGGATTATGAACATAAATATGTTTCAAAATGGTGAATCTCTAACAACATCATTGCTATGTAAAACTTTGTATGTAGCTGTATGCAGGGCCTTCTGTTCGTTTCTTTATATCAAGTTCATGGACTGGTATATTGTTTCTGCCATATTATTACCACCATAAGGTACTTTCCTGGGAACTCAATGCATTTAGAGGGCAAAAGAAAAATCAGAAAAATATTATGTAATTGAGGGGGGCAGTCCAGGCAGATAA